ATATATATATATATAGTTTGTTTCAAATACAACCCATCGCATTTGTACAACCAATGCAACCCAATAAATTGAGATATTTATGGAAATGCTGAGAATTCATTTATTATGATTTGAATATTTATGGAAGATGAATATAGTTCATTAATTATGATCAATACTTTATATTAGAAAACAATTAAAACTTATATATATATATATATATATATATATAAGGAATACATTTGTAAGTAATTCAAGAAAACATGATAATGGGAAAAAAAAAACACATTATTTATTCAATCAAAGTACATTATTTTTTAAAAGTACCAAAATAGATGTTTTAAAAATACGTTACTGAAATAAAATCAAGTTAAAATACGTATTTTCATGCGATTTGCCCTTTGTATAATGATATAAACATTTAATAAGAATAAAAAAGGCTAAAAGTACCATATTATCACCTAACTTAACGAACTTCCTAACTTTGTTAGTTTTACGGATGAAAACCGAAATAAAATGGAACCACAGTAACAAAAAAAGCAATACTTAGAAACAAAGGACGAAAACAGTCATAAGAAAAAGATAATAATCGTAATTTAGTGATAATATATTGGATTTATTATATATTTGAGCAATTTATTAGGGTCACCTAATTTGCCACCATACTATTGATTCCACCACACTTGTATTTATTGCTCATATGCACCTTAAAACACTTCATAAATGGTTACTTCAATAAAGTTGGTATGGATTAGGCCAAGCTCTTTTATATATATTTTTAAATTATATTTCAAATAAAGTTGGCTATTATATATATATAAAGAGACTTGATATAATGTGAGACCATTTTTTTACACTTCACAAATAAAACACTTTGAAGATAACCCTCATAGTATTTTTGCTATGAATGTTCAGATTTTTTTACCTTCACAACGTTTTGTTGTGAAATTTCATGTGTAAAATTGTGGTCTCACGGATCTCACGAAAATAATATGATCTTACATGAACCCAACCCCACACACACACATATATATATATATATAGAGAGAGAGAGAGAGAGAGAGAGAGATATGAGTTCAAATCAAGACGATACCTATTTAAAATAATAAGAAAATAGTTGAATTATGTATTATATTTAATTTTATTACCTATCACCTCATACTATTTTTAGTATTTTATGGGAATGCTAATAAATAATAATTATTAATAATATTTAACATTTAATTTAAAATAAAATTTAGTGATATAATAATTAATGTTAAAAAAAACAAAGTGTATACACCTTGAAAGGTGGTTTTGGGGTAGGGTATGTTTGTGTTTAAAGTTAAACACTTTTAGCTGCAAGCTCGAGGATCATTTCAATATTATTTTCCCTCCTCATTTTTTATTTTATTTTATAAATATTAATTTTTTTAAAATGTTTTCTTTTGTTAACAAATTTTTTAAAATCAAGAAAATAAAAAATAAGAAAAAACTTTAATTTATAGAATCAAAATTTATAAATGTTTAAAAAATTACATTCAACTCCAACAGTTTTTGAATCTCAGAGATTATATCATTAAGGCTGAGTTTGACAAACTAGCTAATAAGTTGGTTGTTAGTTTATGAGCTCGCTGGTAGCTGATAAGCTGACTGTTAGTTTATAAGCTCGCTGGTAGTTGATAAACTGACTGATGAATGAATAAATCATGTTTGCAGAACTAGTTGATAAGAATGTCAAATAACCAAAAAGGGCATCTTGAAAAATTAATTAGTTATGATATTTCAGAATATAATTGAAACAAATATATGATAATATAATATATTAACTAATACAAATAAGATGGTAAAGAAATTATAAATTATAATATATTAATTAAAAGATTTTCAAATTGATTATATA